GGATGGCATTGCGCCCAAGACTATGCGGTCAAGTTCTTGGGACATGAGTGGACACCGACGAACGGTGCCAAGTCAGCCGTTGATCAAATCTGGATTTCGCCTGAAGCCGCGATGCTGCTGCAGCGAGTTTCCATTTGCCAAGTCTTTCGAGGACATGCTACTCTTGCTTTGCACTTCAGTGCAGAACAGACAGCAACACAGATTCTCTGCTGGCCGAGGCCTTCGCTTCTGCCCTGGGAGACCTTGAAAAGTTCATATGACCAGCTTCAAGATCGCCTACCAGAACTGCCATCGGGGGATGCCACTATGGCATACAAGGCATGGGCGAAGAGCATTGAAGACAATTTTGAATCAGCTGCCAAGTCGGAGGACCTGCAACTGCCACCACAAGCTCGGGGTCGAGGACAAAGGACCTCACCCAGTCAGCGCACAGTGTTGGTAACCACATGTCGACGCCCAAGAGAAGGTGAGCTGGAACTCAAATACGATTTGGTTAGTACAGCAGTGCGACACTGGTATGTGCAAGGGCGACGAATGCAATCGCTATTGCATGCACTTCGCTCCGCTTCCAGATCCCTGAACAGTGAGGTGCACAAGATAGAACTTTGGAGCGCTATTGTCCGCTCCAAGGGCTTTGAGGCTACATTTTCTGACTGGTGGAATAATAGGGAACCCAAACTGCCTGATACGCAGTTCTGTCTTCCCGTGGGCTGCCCTGAGCTGGCAAAAATGGACCTTATCTTTCAGGAGTTCCAGATCCACTTTCGCCTGTTTGAAGCATGGCATGCCAAGCAGCGCATCGAGCGCTATGAAATGCTGCATGAGAAGTCCACCAGGCAGTTGCACAAAGAGCTGAAAGGACAGAAATCCGACTGTGTTCAACATTTTCATTTCGATGAAGCTTTTGAAGTTGTTGACACTGATCAAGATAGGATACGGCTAGACAAACCAGCCAACGTTTCGACCCACAGTTGCTGGTTGCATGAAAGCGAGTTAATTCATTTGACCAATTTTGAACATGGGCTCTTTAAGACCAGCAAACCACTTGCTCTTGGAGACACCATCATTTTGCGCAATTTTGTTTCAGACACGGAAGGCATCTGTTCGAGGTTGACAGAACACTGGAGTCAACGTTGGTGTCAAATTTCAGCACAGTCACCTGAACAGATAGGTAAGGTGCTTGACTTTGCCAGAGCTTTTCTTCCACGTCTCGATTTTCAATTGGCTCCGCTCACCATTCAAGACTGGCGTCAAGCCTTGAAGCGGATGAAAATTGCTGCCGCCCGGGGAGCTGATGGCATCAGCCGATTGGATCTGCTCTCGCTCTCTGACAGGCACCTGGATTGGCTTGTACAGCTCTTCAATGCTATTGAGGCCGAAGACATGCCATGGCCACGGCAGATGCTTACGGGCCTGGTGACCTGCATCAGCAAAGTGGATGATCCACATTTACCTGATCATTTTCGACCGATCCACTTGTTCACGGTCGCTCACAGGATTTGGGCCAGTATCAGAGTCCGACAGTTGCTTCGACTTCTGCTGCCTTTTGTACCGGATGAGCTTCATGGCTTCATGCCTACTAAGGAGACAACCCAGGTCTGGTTTGAAATCCAGTGTTGGATTGAACTTGCCCTGGCACAAGGGGTGGACTGGCACGGATGCTCGGCTGACATTCAGAAATGCTTCAACAGCATCGAACGTCCTGCTTACTTGGTGCTTGCAGAGCAATTGGGTACTCCCAACTGCATTCGTGTGCCTTGGCAAGCATTTCTGGCCAGCTTTGAAAGGCGCTTCCAGGTCATGCACACGGTTAGCTCCCCGATACATTCGATTCGGGGCTTCCCGGAGGGCTGTCCTCTGAGTATCCTCACCATGATACATATAGGTTGGGGCTACCATACCTTCATGCGCTTTTTCCACCCCAGGGTTCAGTGTTTGTCTTTTGTGGACAATCTGGACTTTCATGGCGGCACAGCTGAAGAGATCTGTCAAGCTGTGGATGGCACGCAAGACTGGTTTGAAGACTATGGGCTTCGTCTAGACCTGTCCAAGACATTTTACTGGTCTACCAGAGCCGCGGTACGCCAGCAATGGCAACGACAAGGGTTCAAGGTCTTCACGGACACCAAAGAACTAGGTGGGGCGATGACTTTGTGCAGATCAGTACGGAACAGAGCCCTGAAAGCCAGATCAGAAGGCCTTGAAACCAAATGGAAGCAACTATCCAAATCTTTGGCGCCAGTATTTCACAAGCTGCAGGTGCTAGCAACTGTTTTCTGGCCCTTAGCACTTCACGGTGCTTCCGCGTGTTTACTAGCAGAAGGGCACCTCAACGCCCTGAGAAGAGCAGCCACTAAGGCCACTGGGCTAAACTGCGCCGGGGCCAACTCGTGGCTTCGCTTCCTGTTACTGGACAAGACAGTGCAAGACCCAAGCTTTTATCACCACAAGACAGCGGTCATGACGTTTCGACGAATGCTCCAAAAAGTGCCGGATCTTCTGCAACTGTGGAGATTACATTTTGGGCACTTGCAAAGTCCTTTCTTCCCTGGGCCGTATACCAAATTGATTCACTTCTTTGGCCTGATTGGCTGGACGGTGGTGGACCCACCCTGGATTGCAGATCACCATGGATGCCTCCACGACCTGCTCACTCAGGACAAGTTGGGCCCAGTATGTCGTGACACGTGTCAAGCATGCCCGGATGAGTGACCTGGCTGGCATTGAGCTGGAACTCTCTCGCCTGGATCACTACAAGCTCGATCCAAGGGCAAGGTTAAGAATCTCGGCCATCCAAACCGGTGCTTTCTTGTCAGCTAGTGAACAGAGCAAATTCGACACGACCAAATCCTTTCTGTGTCAGGAATGTGGTGTTCCTGATGATAGGGTTCATTGGCAACACTGCCCCCGATATGCCACCATCAGGGAACAGCAGAAATTTGACCCTTCTGTTTTTGCATGTTTGCCCGATTGCACCAGATACCACCTTTTGGTGCCCATGCTTCCTGAATCCTTGAAACTGATGGCATATTTGGAGGCCATGCCTGATCGCACCTTGGATTTCGAATCTTTTGAGGTCGCCCCCGGACGAATCCAACACTTGTTCACGGATGGGGCTTGTTGTAAACAGGGTCTCTCCACTAGTCTGGCGGCTTGGTCAGTTCAGAATGCCTCCACGGGAAAACTCATAGCTGCGGCGCCTCTGCATGGTGGTAAGCAGACAGCACATCGCGCTGAGCTAAAGGCGCTCCACTCAGCAGTGGCCTGGGGCAACTGGGTCAATGCCCCAATCTGTCTCTGGTCAGATTCCGCGAACAACGTGGACATGCTGGAGAAGCTCCTACAAGGGGACCTGATCCACCTTCCTGAGCAGGAGCTTGACATCTGGACCAGTATAGCAGCTGAGCTGGAACACAGAAGGCATTTGGCCACCTACATCAGGTGGATTCCTTCTCACCTTTGCCAAACCTCCCTTGAGGATGACTTCGAAGCTTGGATCTCGCACTGGAACGACCGTGCTGACACAGCCGCAGTTCTTACGAATTTGCATCGAGATCCGCTTTGTCTGCAGTTGGCTAAAGAGAAGGCGCGCCAATATGAGAGAATCGGTGCTCTTTTGCGGCAGCTCCGAGCTTTCTACCTGGCAGTTGCAGATGCAACCGAACCACGGAAGTCGCCCCACCACACGACTGAGGCACCGGTAGTTCGAACGGTAGATGCTGACACGCTCACCGAGCACCTTCCAATTGGCTGGAAAGCCATGCTCACTGGATTGCAGCAGCCGTACCCACCGGAATTCGCCAGCAACCTGATTGAGCGGTTCATTGAGTGGGAATCGCTGGAGATTTGTCCTTTTTGGGTGTCTGACATTGAGTTGGTTTTCATTTTGTCGAGCATCGGTTTCTCCTTTCCTTTGGACACTCCGGCTGGGCGGAGGATGACGCCTTTCTTTGAGATGTTTGCCAAGCCTCCTATCACTCAGTTGTTGAGGCCGATTTCTGTTACGGTTGATTTGGTTCTGCGTGGTTTTGGGCTCCATGAGTGGAGGAGAGTTGATTTTCGTTCGGATGAGCTTGGCATCTTAAAGAAAGGCGGAGCCACCTTTCTTGGGGTACCTGAAGGGCTGGCCACGAGAGCCAGGGAGGCTGTGATCCAATTCACACGCCGGCGACCTTTCAGGACCGTCCAGGATTTTTCCCGTCCACTTCCCGCTTTTTAGACATTCTTGGCCTGAGACAGTGGTCGCTCCGCGCCGCTCTTGCTGCGCGAGGATCACGGGACGCGCGGTCCGAATCGTCTGCGACAAAGAGAGATTTTATAAGCTCCCTGGGGAATGACAATCTGGAGATGTACTGATGTCGCTGCTAAAGATGCGCCATGACACTGAGTCGCGCTCGCTTGGGGTCGCTTGCGGTCGCTTGCGTCGCTGCGGTTTCTGCAAGGGGGAGGTGGAACGTTGAACATTTTTTCGATTATGGCGCCCTCCTGGCAGCCACCCATTGATTTGATTTGATAGAATGACTCCGGAAGAGCTCGGTGGTTTCACGAAGGATTTGAGACGGAAGAAACACCAGCTCGACCCCGTTTTCCAAATCGTCAAACTGCGGTTCGGTGAACCGGTGACAAGTGGACTCGGCACCGTCGAAGCTGATTTGACCGATTTGACCGCAGACCTGAGATGGTAGGCTCCAACACCAGGCAGTGTTCAAGCAATCCGAACGTGCGTACTACTCAAAAAGCAGACAGTCAACATCTTGATGCATGCCATGCAGCATGCCTCATGATGAGAATTCATCAGATCCCACAAACTTGAAGAGTTATATAATGTGTTTTCCTTTCTATTTTGCCAGCTGTTCACTTTGGGGAAGGTTTAGCACTTTGGAATCTGGACCTTTTCTGTGAAGATCACCTTGGGACCCTTTTTCACCGTTCAACGGACCCAACCGTGAGTGCCAACGCCGTGCGTGCCACACCGCGACCGCTACCGCGAGCAGTGGTCGATGCTGCGGGCCATGCGCGTGGGGAGGCCAAGGAGGAGGAGATCGGCGCCGGGTGATGGAGGGTGGTGGAGGATGTATGAGTTTTCGGAAGCCCTATCGAGAAGGCTGAGATCTAGCTGGCTAGATTTCTAGATGGATTTGCTTGATGCAAGCTGGATGTTGGCATGATTTCTTCGGCAAACGGCAAGAAGCCAATGCTGATGTTGAGATGATCCGATGCCAACCTTTGCTCCATCCGGTGAGACGATTGCATCGCAATCGAGACACCCAGCCTTCATCCACCAGAAGTCTAGACATCGCGATGTGGGGAAAACGCGTTGCCCAAAGGAAGACGAGCACTTAGCACAGGAAATCTGGTTCCTCTATCCTTTATACTGGGGCTCTTTCTTCACTGTTCTACATGTTTTCGGGTTCTCTGAAAGAATGGGGTGGCCAAGTCCGTGGGATGCTCTGGGCAACGATTTCGGAGGACCGTCCGTGGGTCCGTCCGGCGCGGGCTACGGCGACGGCTACTCACCCACCCTCTGGAAGAACCTTTTGGAGCAAAAACCACATACCCAGACACTCCATGTATGGAATATATGCCTACATTGACCCCCCAAACCACCCCAACTGATCGGCATATATGCTATACATGGAGTCTTTTGGATAAATCAATCATCATGGATCAATATCTCATCGTTGATCTGTGATTGGTCCTTCACAGGACAGCCTGTCGTATCAAGAGTCGGACAGCTTGTTGCGACCGTCGCTAGCTGTTGCCAGGTCGGGCCCTCGGTAGCTGTAGCTACACGCTTTTTTGAAGACCTTTACTCCCATTAGGACTCCTGTCCCATCTCCTCAGAAAGGTGGGCACAGACCCCCCCCAAACCATCCACCCTACCACCGAACCGAAACGGAGGTAGTTGGAGCCCTATACAAGCATCCGATCCGGTGGCCAACCCCAACGCACCCGGAGGCACCGCACGGCGCGCTGCGCAAGGCGCCCGTTTCCACGGGGTCCGCCCTATTGTCCACGGGGTCTCTTGGTGCGAACGACATCAGTCGGGAGGAAGCGCCAGTGATTTGGTTGGGAGAACTCCCCTTGTCATCGTCGAATTGGGACAGTGACCTACTATAGGGGGGCTTTGGAACTGTCTAAGACTCTAACTGGTTGGGAGAATGGACGAGGTGAAGCTTGTTGAACCTGAGGAGTTGCGGGATGGGATGGACAATAGGCGCCCACTGGCGGCCACTGGGGGCAAAGCTGTGGGCAGGTAGCTGCTTTTGTTCGTTCGGGCAGAGGAGGAGATACAATACATGGCTTTGGCTGCACCATGGGAGGCATGGAAGCCATGTCTCCTGAATCCTTCAGGACCAAAACACTTCACCCCGGAGGCAGAGACACGAAACGGGTACCCTTGTTCAGAGACGATGTGACGTCAGTTGATCTTTTTCGGAACGGGTGCACCCTGGAGACCCTGAAGACGAGCTGGAGACGAGCTCAAGACGACCCGACGACAAGATGAGACTTTTGAAACTGGGAAGGTACAAGGGAGCTTCACTGTAGCTGCTACAGAGTTCGTTCCCCTTCAGCACTTGCAGATGCGAAACCCAAAGAATGAAAAAGACAAGAAAGACCACTCACTGAGATTTTGGAAGGGACCCAAAACTATTGGAGATTTGCGGTTCGTTTCGTTGAGCGGAACCTTGGGTGCTCCTGCATGAAAGCCAACGAAATCAGTTTGGGGAAACACCAGGTGCAAGACACACGGTGTTTAGCTCCATAAAGAGCAGGCTAAGGTTGAGACCTCCGGGGGTCTTCATCATCGCTTTACCTTGATCCTCCCAAATCACCACGGAAGTCCCATCTTGATCCCGCGAAAAGGACTGCTGTTTGATGTCCGCAGAGTCACAAGATGTTTGTATCAGAAGAGAGACCTCCCTCTCCAAAATCACAGGCAAACACATGCACTCCCTGATCCATTTCAACCACCCAAGTGCTTCTCCACACTCCCGAAGTGTTTGTTGTTTCCTTTTCAGAGGCAAGTCCTGGGTCTTGTGCACTTCTTCCCCAAACGCCGTCCACCATCACAACCCTTCTCCTCCCACCCAGGCCATCCGCCAGATGCTCGAGGTTCCTGGCCACGAAGAAGGAGGAGCATCTTGGATGCCGGAGTTCGAACGTCCGACGCCCGAGGATCGTCCCAAATGCACTGGCTGGCTGTGTTGAGGTCTTTTGTTTGGGTGGAGACGGGATGGACTTCCATGACAAATGTATGTAACTAACAATAGTCATAGTCATGATAACAATAATAATGATAATAATAACAATCTCTCTCTCTCTCTATATATATGTATTTAATATAATATATATATCTATCGTATCTGTTTGGAAGAGCAAAAAACAAGGGTTTTTGAAGGGTTCCGGCTTTTGAGTGAGTGTTGACAGTCTTGCTTTCGGTTTCCAAGTTCTTACCATCCAAGTGCAAGCTCACCATCTTCAGTCATCAAAGTAACCTTCCTCCATTGGCTCGGAACGCGGTGCGTAGGTCCGACGATGTCGGAGTGCCGCGACGTGGCGACGTGCAGCGAAGCCACGGTTCAACCTGGGGCGGTCGGTTCAACACGAAAACGGCATCCGTTTCGTTCATTGAGCAGACTGAGCAAACTAACCAGATGAGCAGACTGAGCAGACTGAGCAGAGCAGATGCTTTGCTTGAGGCTTCCGTAGATGGTCGCTTTGAGGCAGCGATCGGATCTACCAAGACGCTTTGGAACTTCGCGTTGGGGATTTTGAAGGTGGGTAAACCATGTAGACCCTTGATTAGTAACCTTCCCCATCCTTCCCCAAATTTGGATTGAGAAACCTCTTCATATGCGGGTTTCTTCACACCATTCCCCCCTCCCCCCCTCTCCGCACACTTCCGGCGAAGAAAGCACGTGCCTTCCGCGTCTTCCGCGTCTTCCGCGCCCGGCCTCAGGGGTTCGCTGAGGAAGAAGGTGCCCCCGGAGACACCGGAGGAAGTCACGCGGAAGCTGCGCGAGCAGAGGGACTACTGGGACAAGCAGGAGCGAGCCTTTGGGGTCTTTTGGGGGGAAGGAAATGAGAGAGCCCTTTGGTGAAGCTATCCTTTTTGGGGAAACACCGTGGAACACGTGGTCTTAAGGCATTTCTTTCTGTCTGAATCCCTTAAAGAACCCTTGCTTTACGAAGGATTTTGACGCTACACCACCAGGTCAAGCTTCAATGGTCTTTGAAGGCTAGGGCTTAGGGAAACAGTGGAACACATCATGGTGGACTTTTCAACAACGTGAATCGGGGCTGAGAGAGTGGTGGAAATTCTGATTTACATTTTATGGCATGCAGCATGCTGGGCATGTTGATTTTCGAAGCTGGTGATGTGGGCTGTGGCAAACACCATTTGATTTGTTTCGATGTCTTCTTTTTCGACATGTTTTTTTGAAATGTGAACATGATTCGTGAGAGATGGGAGAAATCATGGCTCTTAGCTTGGAGGCCATGGCTCTTGGGTTCAGACTCCGGTCGGACAAACGGCGAAAGCAGAGGGGCGACCTCCCAGGGGCGACCTCCCAGGCGGCCACCGACACGAACTCTGTTCGTGAACTCAACCAGTAGGCTCAGGGGGCCAAGGGTGAAGCTCCCTTTCTGTCAAGACGCACCCATGTCATACCATGTGACAAAAGACCCTGGGGACCTCCCCCACATACCGGGGACCGAATCTCCCCACATCCCCCCCAGCATGGTGGCGCTCGAATGGCGGCGCGCGCCGGGCACACGGAGCTAGGAGCGGTCCACCGTGAAGACCATCCTCTCACAGTGGGGAGGTTGGAGCGGGGCTCCGAGGTCGATGGGCACGGTCAGAGAGGGAACTGTTTCACAAGAATTCGTCTTTTTAAAGCATGTACTGGTTGGATGGTGGCCAGGCGTTTGGTCCTAATTTTAGTTAAGTGTATACCATCTCTCTTTTCTTGATTTTATTCACATGTGCTTTTATAGGAGGGTTCCTTCCCATATGAGCTGCTGGAAACATCAGTCCCAGCTCTTGTGTACACACTCTGGTGTAGCAAGCACTGCAGCCAAGGGCTTTCCCGAAAAACATTTTTTCTGCACGAAAATCAATGACACCCTTTTGTGACAAAACATATCGCTTATCTTGGCGCCAACCTTTCTTGCGCCAACATGAAATGAACGAAGTCTGACACTGACATGCTGCACGAATATACACACATATACTGACCAAAGTGACCATAATAAAAACAGAGGTCAGTCAGGCTCCAGGTATATAAAGACCCGCTTCTCTTTTTCTGCACGTGTTTCTTCCGGCCTTGCAACCCCACGAGTTCTTTCTTCCGTTGCCACGTTGGCGCCCTTGGCCCAATTGGGTCACCGACGAGCGGACGAGCTGCTGGAGAAACGGCCGCGACGACGACGGGTCGTTTGAAGGCCCCCGGCACTGGCGGTTCAAGATTCTGCTGATTTGGTTCAGATTACACTCCGACGAACACATCACATGTGTAGGATCCCTCAAGCGCCGCACACAAAAGTCCTTTCTCACAAGCGCTAACGATGCGTTCTATCGCTCTTCAAGGATTGCTAAAGTGAACTGGGCAAAAGGGGCCAAATGGCTTGTGGACGCAAATGTGTTTGACGTCCTGCAATGACACTACTGAAAGTGCATGGGCCGCGCTGGCCTCGAAGCCTCCACATCCGAGTGGATTTCAAACAACAAATCGCAAACGAGAAGAACCGAAACGAAATCACTCACTTAGCTTCAAGAGATCTCTTTGTTCTTTCTTGAGTCTCTTTCCGCTAAACATATCAGCATCCTCGACAATTCGCCAAGTTTGCTTGCATGCTATGAATCTGTTCATTTGTTCATCTTCTCCTCGTTTTGTTAAGCTGTTGGCCAGCATGGCCTGACTGTTCACCCATCGAATCTCCAGGCCGGTCTCCTTCTGAGCGTTTTTCAGTGCCAGCAACTCTATGTCAATCTTTTTGGATTCTCCTGTTGGTGAAATGTAGGGCCTTTGCAACTTGTCGTACACTGATCGTGAATCGGTGATGAGTGTACCTGGTGTCAGCTTAGCCAATCCGTCAGGGTCCCGTACATGGGGAACATGACCTTCCATTTCACTCCATTGAAAACGCAAAAGGAACAAGATGTCCTCCGCGTCTATTGCCGCATGAGCTTCCGACGCTCCTGGTGCTCTACACACTCTTCCTATCTTGGAACTTTGCCAAAACAAGGGAGTTATCTTGGCGAGATTTCCTGAACTGAGCCCTTTGTCCGCGGCTCCACAAAAGATTCCTTTGGTGGAATGACCTGAACTTCTATTTTGGTTGCTAGCGTCACACCAAGCATAAAAGGAAACCCTGTCCGGTTTGATGGGAAAAATCCTCAAAGGTTCCTTGGCAGCATCTTGAATCTTGTGGATGAGGGCATTCACCTGAACAATGGTTTCAACCGTGGAACTGGGAACCTCACTGAGATGAAGTGACACGTAAGCGGAGAACCTATAGCCCACCTGGGAACAGTGCCAAGAGAGAGCTCCCAAAACACCACGCAAAGCTTTCTTTTCTTTTTCCGTGGTTTCTTCTTTTCTTTGTTTCCTACGTTCCGCCGTCAAAGGAATGGGAATGGTGTGGGACATGTATTTTTCTTGGTTCAACGAGAAACTGTAATCAGCATGCTGCTCAATCTGAACACCGCATTGGGTGAATCTCTTCTCCTCGAACTCTCCCCATCGGAACTTCTCCTGAATACTCTTTTTTGCACGCATCCACACGTCGTCCGATGCATCTCCTACGAACAAGAAATCATCCACGTGTCCCGCCACTATGGCGTGTACCTGGTCTCCTTTTTGGAGTATCCAGCAACACGGGTCGGCAAATGATTGTCGAAAGCCTAAACTCAAAAAATGTGCCCGTACGGACTCATACCATTCATAGGGGGCCTGTACAAGTCCGTAACACGATCGTCTCAATCGTGTCACGCTTTCTTTGGGGATCCCCATTCTCTCACAAAGATCCTCTGTTGGGATACAGAACATTTCTTCGCTACACTCCCTACCCTGTAAGAATGCTGCAGCGACATCACCTTCCCAGCACGTCCATCCTCTATTGGCTGCTTGTTGCAGCATGAGCTGTCTGGTATGTCTGGTGGTCGTCGGTGCATATGTGATGCGGTGCTCATATTTCGGGTCCTGATATCCCAAAATCACCAGTCTGGCCTTAGGAACTGTCGCTCCTTCGCCATCGACCTTCCAACTCAGCAACCACCTGATGGCCATTGCCTTGTTCCTGTCTGGTTGCAAGTGGGGAGGTAGGGCTTCTAGGGCTTCCGACTGTATGAACTTGTTGATCTCTGTGTCCTTTGCTTTTCGAAATTTTGCTTTTGTATCTTCGTCCATGTTTTTCTCATAGACCTCCACACTCTTCTTTTTGAGGGTGTTGACAATATAGGCTTGTGGGTCTCTTGCCATTCGCATCCAGCCGTGTCGAGCTGTAGGCAAAGGAAGTGCAATTTCCACTGCTGCGTCTTCTTGTTGCCAGTATGAATGGTGTAACCCTTCTTCCTTGTCCTGAAAGAGTAGAGGGTCTTCCTCATCAGAAATTTGTTCGATTGGTGATGATGATGCCCCTCCGGCTCTCTGAACTTGAACTGGTGCCTTGGTTCGGTGTCTCTTCTGTGGTGGTTCATAGAACCTTGGCTGTTCATCTCGATCTTCTCGTTTGGGCAGGTGTTCCACCTCCATGGTGATGTCATCATACTCATTCTTTCCCAGCGGGGAAACAATGTCCGCTATTGTCCAGGGCAGTTGGATGTCTTGGTCAATTTCCGCAAGTGTTCTCTCTCTATTGGAGGCCTTTCGAAGTTGTTCGATGGAGGCCCTTCAGCAAACGGTTGTTGCGCACCAACCAAACTACTGAACTGGGTCGGACGTTGTTATCTTCATCGAATCTCGTTTCGAGAGCCAATATCCGGGCTGGTCCTGCATAGCCATAGAAGTGACCTGTCTGATATCGTTGTCCAGCCTCTTTTCGTCCTAGGTGTCTCCAGTAGAAAACCAATTCTCCTGGTGAATACAATGGAAAAGGCTTGGATTTGGAGTTCAATGCACGAGCTATTCTTTCCCTAGCCTGCCACTTCAGAAAGGTTTCCTCTGCGAGCAGCCTCAGCTTCTGGTGTTTCTCGATCTCCCCCACTGGAGTTTCCATGATGTCCACTGGAAAATCCTTCACATTGTCCCTGAAGAACCTCCCGTCAATGTCCGGTGCTTGTCCCATGGCGTGTTGAAATGGTGAAAAAACCTCTGACCATCTCCCTCCGGTTCCAAATGCTGATGGCCTGTGCCACAGCTTCGTGGGAGGTTACCTGAGCGTCTTCAAGGGCTATCCTTGAGAGCAACTCCTTGAGCCATTCAATGCTCCTTTCAAGAGGTGATAAGTGCCAATGGGCGTCTCCCGGTATTGGATCTAACATCACTTGGTTTCTACTGAAGTATGAATCAAGTTCACGAGATCTCCAAGCTCCTTCGGCATCAAAACGCAAATAATCCGGGTTACCGAAGTACTGTTGCCAGTTCTCTTGATAGAACTTAGTATATTGGTCGGCCTTCACACTACCTTTTTCGCCTTCCATCAAGATCCTACCCACCAGAAACCTACTTCCTTGATCCATCAACAAACCAATGGTCACCCTCTTTTTGGTGTGTGGATGTCTCCAAAAAGCACAGTCGGCGAGAGCCACGGCCCATCGTTTCGGAACGAGTTCGAGGTTGGCGACACGACGCGGCGCCGGTCGCTTTCGCTCTTCACAAGTATCACAAACAAAACGCTTGGCCAACTCAATCACTTCCGACCTCACACCTTTTTGCCTGAGATTTCTAACTAAGGACTCCGTGCTTCCGTGTCCAGTCGCTCCATGAATGAGTCTCAACTTCTTCTCCCACTCTTTCTTCTCTTCTTGCGACAACGGCTCTTCTCCCTCTCCCGGTCTCTCTTCTTCAGGTCTCATCTCAACATCGGAACCTTCCATGTGTTCATCCCCCCACAAAAGCTCTTTCTTCCAAAATGCACTTGGGACACATCTGCAGGGTACCTCTCTCCTGGAACATGGAACAATTGCAAGAACCCTTCTTGAACTTTCCCAAATGCACCTGAGGGCCATGAACAACCTCTTTGTCCACTCTGTGCAACCCTTGCATCGTTTCGTCCGTTTGGACCTTCCTCAAATAGTACACGATTCGTCGAACGAGTTGGGGGGGTGTAAAACGCCGTTTGCCTGGTGGTCCAACCCTCACACTTCAGATGAACCCCTTCACACTCCACACCCCTACACACCAATTGTAACTTCGAAGCGAATTCGACGTTCGTGGACTCGACCCTCCATTCTTTTCCCAGAAGGCCCCTATTCTGAGAATCCTCAACCCCACTCTACAACCACTTATCACGGCAGTAGCGGTATTCAAGTTGGCCCGGAAACGTTCCATGTGTTCCCACTTCCAAGCCCTGCACCGTCGGCTCCATTCCCAATGCACGTGACTTCCAATCGACCTACCGTAATAAGCAACCACCATACCTCCTATGTGTTGTTTTCTGGCTTCCCTTTGTTTGTGAAGGAGATCCTTTTGCTGTTGTTCGGTTCTTTGGTTGAAATTCTGAATAGGACTGAACGCTCCACACTCAGTTGACAACCAGATGTGAACAGGTCTATGTTTCTTCACCAAGGCCAAGGTCTTCCTCAGTCCTTCTGGGGTAGTCAGGTCACATCCGTTGAACAATGACGCACGCATAGCCGTCAACCCTTTTGCGTGCGCCTCGTTGGTCAACAGCGATTCTGGTGCACATGCCACTTCCATCAAAAATACTCGGCCGTAGTCTAGAGCCTTTGTGACCTCCCAACTAATCTGGTCCAGTTTTTCTACATCACTGGAAGGGAGATCGCGAACTAGACATTTCGGCTCTTGATATATCAAGGTCGGCTCAACCTCTACTGACCCTCTGGTGGGGCTTGTTGGTTCCATCCCTGGGAAGCTTCGATCTTCTCGAATCCGGAGTTCGTGCTGGTCTTGCGGGTCTTGGAACCTGAGGAAGCAGCCTCTTTTGCCTCCTTCAACTCTGCCTCCATAGTGTGCATTTTGAACATCATCTGTTGCATCATCTCTTTGATCTCCTGCGTCTCCGAAGGTGGCTGAGCTGCATATCCCTGGGGGGCAGCCGATGATGATGCCTTCGGTGGTGTCACTGGAGGCGTGTAGATGGCGGTCGTGACTGGGGGAGATGCAGGCTCTCCCAGGTGTTCTTCGGTCTGTTCCATCTTCTTCACCCACTGGGCGAACTGCATCAGCTTCCAGTCTGGACTCTCGCTGGTCTCCACTTCTCGCATGGCCCACAGACTGTAGGGCCGGTCGATTGTGTAGACCTCCATGAATGAAGCTCCCTTGTGCTTGCCGAACTCGATGGTCGTGTCCCTTGAGCAGTTGCTCATCACCGCCTGGCGAAGAGCCAAACGAAGCTCTCCCACTGTAGCCTTGGGGTTCATGGGCAGCTGGTAGTTGTGACTCATTTCCACCAATTCGGCTTTCTTCCCATTCTTGATCTGCTGCATCACGTCGTTGCCCGGACTGCGCATGGTGAGTTGCCCCTGGCGCAACCGGAGCTCCCTCACTGCAATCCTCACTTCGGCCAACGACAGATCCTGGTGCACTGGTTGTCCTGCCGCCCGGAGTTCTGCTCGACATTCGTTGATGCCGCACATGTAGTGAGGCTTCATGTTCGCCGCACTTTCCGCCGGGATGTACTTCTTGGGCGCCATGGTCCGCAGACGCTGAAAGAATGTGAGGGACGGATGATCGCACGACTTGCGGGTCAGAAGATACTGCGGAATTCGCGTGACTGCCTGATTCATGTCCAGCGAGAATGGTGTCTCGGGGGGTTTCACGACCGAACGATCTCGAGTCAGCACGACACTTGAACTTCTGCATGACCGCTGAAAAAAGAGGAAATTGTACAAGCCTACTCTCTTCTTTACCAAAAACATGCATACCTTTCTGAATTTCACAATGACGTGAGTGACCTCCTTTCCAATTGCCTGTTTGTTTTGGCTCCTCCCACTCGGATCCAGGCTTCTCCGAGCAGAGTCTGCTTTCCTATTCGTGGATGCTTTGAGGCTTCTCTGAAAAAGGGCCTACCACTAGCTGCTTCAAACTACTCACCGACCGCTTCAGAAGTTCACCTCGTTGGATAAAATCACTGGTTAGAGGGAGTAGTTGATGCCCGGATGTTGATCGTTCCAGTTTGATCATTTTGTCTGGAGCGATTTTCGAGAAGATCACCTCGTCTGTGGCAAAATCAATGATGGCACCCATCTTCCGAAGGGTGTCCACTGACAAAAGAACTGGTGCCTTTCCTTCGTCCACCACATGTACTCGAAGCTGCATGGGTCGTTCTTCGTGGGGCAACTTCAAAACACATGTAGACAGGCATTTGGCTTTTTGGGAATTCCCGAAGCCAAAGGTTGGCCTGTCGGCCTCTGTGACTCCCACATGCTTGATGCCGTCCGTGCCATGGAGTCCCTTCATCACCTCCATGTATTTCTCGATGGCGTACACTGATGCCATGGTGCGGGTGGCACCGCCGTCTATCACTGCCTTCCCTTCCGTGATGGCCTTCTCGGTGGACAAAGTGGCTCGAAAAATGAAGTCTGGCTCAAGCTCTGATGATCCTGTTGCACCATAGTAATTCACCTCCCCCTCGTTTGACTGGTCTCCATCGGTCTCCTCAGGGGTGTCCTGGATGTCCATGGTGTGGTAGGTGAATTGAGCTTCATCGTCTTCTTCTTCTTGAAGAGTGGCCAATTTGGCGCTCTCTCTCTTGGGGCATTCGTGTTTGTGATGCCCTCTCTCTCCGCATCGGAAGCATGGTCCTTTTTCTCTGTCTCCTTTTTGACCTCCTGCACGTCCTCCACTCCCAATAGGATAGGATCTGTAGAACTTTCTGGTCATCTTCACCTCGTGCTGGCGAGCTCGTGCTTCCTTCAAGGTTCTCTTGGCTCCTTGCATCTGCAGCCAAGCCTGTTGTTCATCTTCTTTTGCTTCTTGATACCATGCCTTCTCTCTTTCGGTCCATCCTTCGTAGAATGCTTCAGCCTCATCAAGGGGCATGTCATAGTCTTCGTCTGCTTCTTCTCCTTGAAAGAGTGACGCATGTCTTCCTTCTCCATCTCTTTTCTTCAGTGTGTCATCTGCCCAATGAGCTCGAAGTGCATTCTCGATGCCGGCAAGAGTGAAGTTTCCTTTCACCTCTCCTTGAATGATGCTCTTCTCCATGGTATCCAATCCTGACTTTTCCAGAAGCATCCAGCCCAAGACAGCGTCAGGTAGAATACTCACCTGTTCGTCTTCTTCTACTTCTTGGGTGTCCGATCGATTGGACCAACTCTGGCGTCCCCAGGAGTGGGATTGAGATGCCTTCCATGGATAGGAATACCAGTTGGTATTTCCTTGCCAGTACCATTGATGGTCCCACCATGAGTATTGCCATGGGTCCTTCTGGGTGAGGTCGGATGATTGGACTTCCTTCAGGGGATCATCTTGGCCCCCTTGCCCTTCGTTCCCTTCTCCCACACTTTCCGCTGCAGCTGATTGGGCCGAGCTCGGCATTGAAGTCTTCACCTCCTGCTTGTGCTCTTTCATCATCCTGGCCAGTGCCCTGCACATACGCTCATACTCATCTCTATGTCGAACGCAGAATGCGGTCATTGACTCTCCCTTCTGTCTCCTCAAAACTTTGAAGTACTGTCGGAGGAAATTCCCCACCTCCGGCAGTGCTGGTTCCCCGATTGTCTTTTGAAGGTGTTGCAACAATGTCTCTGTACCCTGCTCTTCGCTCAACCAACTGCTTTTCTTTCCCATGATGGCAGTGCGAGCTGCTCCCGTGAGCTCTGCTGCAATCTTGGGCCCACACGTGTACCTGGCTTCAAACTTTGTCGATGCGACATACAAGCGGGCAGCTTGTTTGAACTCCAGCCATGTCGCCGGGTCCCCATTCCATCCAGGTACTCCATCTTTCGTTCTTGTAATCGTCATCCTCAGGGATCCTGATATTCTCGAGATGCTCGAGGTACTCAGTCAAATAGGTCGTAGATCACAAAGGGCTCCGCTACCATGTAGGATCCCTCAAGCGCCGCACACAAAAGTCCTTTCTCACAAGCGCTAACGATGCGTTCTATCGCTCTTCAAGGATTGCTAAAGTGAACTGGGCAAAAGGGGCCAAATGGCTTGTGGACGCAAATGTGTTTGACGTCCTGCAATGACACTACTGAAAGTGCAACATGGAAGTGGAAAACCCACTGTTTGTAGAGGAAAGTAGTCTTCCAAGAGGCCATGCCATCCACTTCCATGTTAGTGAGTCAGAGTGTACTCCCACTTGCGGTCTTCGATGTGTTACATTCAAGCAATTGATTCCCCTTGGGCCCCTTTCCGAAAAGAACTGCACGGCACGGGGGGACGGGTGCCTTTTTTTTGGCTCCTTCCCACCCCATTCGCCCGTGAACCTACGTCACCCTGTGAACTCGTCACCTACCTCATCACCTTCATGTGGCAAGGCTTGCCCCTCGTGCACTCACTGGTTCACTCGGAACTCGTCGCTCGGAACTCGGAACTCGCTCGCTCGTGGGAGGCCTTCTCTTCTTCGGCTTCTGGTGTTTGGTGGCCTGGCTCGGAAAGCAATGGGCCGAGTACGAGATGCGCCTCGTTGAGAGGCGGCGGGACGTCCCAAGCGGAATGAGCGAAGCACGCGAACGCGGAGCGGGTGGAGGGGGAGCCGCCCAAGGGATGGAAGTGTTCGGTGCTTCAGTGGGATTCCAAAATGGATGCTGAGAGCTCTATATATTGAAAAAACATCAGTTTTTTGGAATGTCCGATGTAATTTCCACTAGAGTCGAGAATGACTGGCCTTGAGGCCACAAGAAAGAGGGGATTCTGTAAAAATTCTGCAGTGACATCTAATTATCTTTTTTGGGCTGTCAGTTTGCAGGAATTTGGACATTTTGGGCAGCCCAGCGATTTCGTTGTCACTTTGTGATTGTTTATCGATGATGCAGCCGAAAAGTGGTAAAACAATGCGCGAAAGACGTTGAGCAAGTCACCTTGCTTGTAGTGCAGGCAAACCTGAATCCCCTCATTTTCTAGACCCTACAACTCACCTTCTACTACATCTACTACATGCAATGTACAACGTCACTCGGTGAATTCACACGACCTGTATTTTATTCTTTACTTATTCTTTTATTGGGGCGGGACACTTCAAGGCCAATGGATGCTCTAGATGGTGGGTACCACATCCGTAGTTGTTCTGCATGTGGTGGGACGATCCCATGCTTGTTTGGAGTTCCTGCGTGGGGACGAACCACTTCGCTCTTCTGGGGCGTTCGTTCGCCTCAACGACGGCTGGGGGGGGTGGTGGTGGGTGGTTTCTTCATGTTCATGTTTCTACTAGCTTTTTGTTTCTAATAGCTTCTTGTTACTACTAGTAAGGCACTTGTTACTAGAAGCGATGCACTTGTTTCTACTAGCTCATTGTTTCTAATCCTCCAAAAGAACCGTCTCATTCACGTTCCGTTTCGTCTCATTCACCTTCGATCCCTCCATCACTGCCGCCGCCGAACCGGCGCGAACGGCGGCCGCTTCCGGCGCGAACGGAGGGTCGACTCGACGTGATGGAGTCCACTCGGTGCGAAGGGTCGTTGGTGGTCCAAGATCGCTCAGGTTCCTACCGGGTATATCTACACATAATAGTGAACAGTGCTTCAGCTCTCCCCAGATCCTTTCTTTCAAGGGTCCCCGGGTGAGTTCTCCATCGCACATGAGTGGTTCTGCTGCTGATTCCGCCGTCAGGGAGGAGGCCGAGAAGACGCGCCGCCGGAAACGGAAAGTGCCGGAGGAGTAGCGCCGGCAGCGCAGAGATCGCTCGCGAAGTGGGCACAAAGCAAGGGCTGGGCGAGGGATCGGAGGGGTCATCAGTGTGGATCCCCCCCCAACATCTCATCTCCCGCGCGTTCTCTTTTTCCCCCTGCTGGATGCACGTGGCGGATTTCGGTCGCCGGCGAGGTGGAATGGTGAGGCGTTTGGTGAGGGGGATCAGGTTTTCTGACAGACCCACATTGCTCAGTCTCGGTGCTTTGGATGCCTCCAAAGCCTCCGGGGTCTCTGGACACCCATTCCAACAACTGAACAGGTTGCTTTCTCCTTTTGAATCATGCCCTCGCTCCCAGAGCTCTGCCCATTTTCTGCCTGGTCGTCCTCTGTGTTGTATTGGTACTTCCCCTCGGACCGTGTTTTTGGAAGACCAGCTGCATGAGGTGGGAAGAAGGGGGGAGGGGGGTTTTGTTTGGGGCGTCTGCTGGAGGGTGCTCCAGAGAGGAGGGCTCGGATGGGCAAGTTCTCCAAGGCTTTGTAGGGAAGATTGGAGTCAAGTTGCTTGGGGTCCAGACCCAAAATGGCTTCTGAAAGTGAGCAGGTACCCCAAGGCCCTATACATATACCTGGAGCCTGAGTGACCCCTGTTTTGAAGGATCAACTATCCAAAATATGGTCTTTTCCTATTTTCGGACTTTCGTCAAAGGTGGTCAAGTGGACAAAGCTTTTATAAGTCCAGTTAAACATGTTGTACAAGAAGTGAAGAACACACAAAAAAAAACATCAGACCAGCAGTCACAAGACGGGGGTGCTATCCATGGAGGAAGTCGGAGTGCCCAAAACCACATCCACATCCACATCCACTGGATTTGACGAGCCACACCACCCGGTACTTGTGACTGCTGGGACACATATTTTCATCATGGATGATCAGTTCATTCTTCAGTTCTTTGGACTCGCTGGGACTTGCCGCGCCTTCTTCGGACGCCGCGTTCCCGACGGTTCCACCCGGTTGGGGTCCGTCCTTCTTCGATTGCAGCGACTGTTCGGACTCGGATTTCTGTTCGACAGGACGTTTGGCCACCCATGGACTTGGTCAGCACTCTTGGACTTTCGCCCCAAGAAAGAACCATGCGGATGCCAGTCTACAAGCTTGCCAAAAGGGACGAGATCATAGGTCTTCCTTCCCCTTTGGACAGTCCATCGATCGGTGCAGTCCGCTGGGTCCGCTGCGATTTCTCGTGGTCGCCTTCGATCGTGGCCCAAGCGCCAAGCGCATTGCGAAAAGCGCCAAGTTTTCAACAGGCCCGGGGCCAACGCCGAGCGGGACGTGCGGGACGCGCGGGACGCGCCTGGATTTGAGGTCTGATGCAGCAGAAGGGTCGTGTCCAAAGGTCTTCACGGACCCAACACACTGTAGGAAGCTAAAGCATCACCCACCAGTAGCTGAAGTGGTTTTTCTAAGTGTTCAACCACTGCAAAGGTGATGCTTGGTAGAAGACCCATTTAACTCATCTGCAGACAAGCAGCTTGCATCACTCTGACTGGTCGTTCGCAGCACAGGCTTTCTAGATGGAAGAACGACACTCGCGGCTGAATCACTTCCTGGGACTTCAGCCAAGAGTTCTGACAGTTTTCTCTCTTTCCACACCGTTTCACCCTGCTCCGACTCCCAATGATCTTTGAAAGATGCCCTCCTTTTGGTTGATGTGCTTGACAAGGCTCTGGTCAACCCCTCCAAAATCCATTGAAACCTTCAACTCTTGATCCCCCCGAAAACCAGCAAAGAGCTCCAAAAGGGCCTGGATCCGAGCTACAAGGATGGACAGCAAATGGTTGTATCGTTTCCGTATGTTTCCGTGTTGATTTGATCAGTAAACGCTACAGTAAAAGGATTCGATGTGCACATGATACCTCAGAATCTCTCTGATTTGATGCCCAGAACGCACCCGAGGTGAGCACCGCAAGAATGGCCGACACCGGTGTCGCGGCCGTCGCCCGGCGAGTCCGGGTCCGGGACCGGGGGGTCTGCCTCCGCACCAACTGGCTGGCTGTGGGTCTCTCGACCCAGCGAGAGACCCATCGCTGTTTTCCGAACATGACTAATAGGACGGAGTACTGAGGAGGTCAACCTAATCGGGTGCTCCAAACAGGAGGTCGAACACGCCACCGTCTCGCCGCGGCGAGCGGCCGCGGCGAGCGGCGAGATGGTCGTGTTCGGGCTCGAGATGGTCGGCCAACACGAAGAAAGCGAAGGGGGTCCTGAAGCCATTCCCACACGCGACCTGTCTGGGACTGCCATAGGACGGCGGCATATCTTCCACACATGGAGTGTATGGGGATTTGGTGGTGTAATTGAAATGTGGGGGGACTCTCTGGCCCAATGGATTTGGCGGCCTTCGCCCTTCTGGTCAGAGCCCGTGGTCTTTTCGCCGCATCTGCGTCCCTCCCCGGTGAGAGGCGTGATTTCGGGTCAGGACACAACCAATGGATTTGGGTCGGTTTCCCCAAAACTCCATTCCAGTAAAGAGTCAGGTCATCGCGGTGATCGGAAGAAGAGTGATGAAGAAGTTCGGGCATTCTCCCGAGGCCAAAATAGAAGTGGACTGAATTCTGAAAGAACTGCTGGCGAAAAAATGGTGGCAAAGATCGCATCGATGTCAAATATGTCAAAAATGCGAGCAACCTGGCCTGATGTAACAATTAAACACTTCTCCTGCCCGGCTGATGTTCATTTAGAAGTTGACCAATCTACAAGCTCTGGGGGTCACGAGGTCTCTTGAACAAGTTCTGTTGAAACCATGTCAAAGACGCCACCGAAACGGAACATGGTGACTGAACTGCAGCATCCCATGCGCCACACGGCACGATGTTCGGCACCAGCCAAGTAAAGGACCTTCCTTTTCGGATCACCCAAAGACCGTTTTGAACATGGTCGACTGGACTATCCCCAATCAGAAGAACAAGGGTGGTTTTCACCGCCATGATTCACATGCCCCCTTCGCCGTCCATGAAAGTTCTTCGTAGGCGTTCTTCGTAGGCCTCGTTTTCCCTGCCCCCACTGGGAGGTCTATGTGGGTGTGTCTTCAACTAGGGAGACCGACCCCCCAGCGTTCCTTTTCCCCTGGGTTCGGGAAACCGGGGGAGTGCCATGTCCTATGTCATAGGATGTCATAGGTATATACCTCAGTCTCCTCACCTCAGTATCTATTCTCGTGGTTTCTGGGTGTCCTCCTCCTCCTCCTCCTCCAACCCTCCTCCCCCGCCACACTCCTCCGGTCGCCACCCCGCGTACCGATGGCTCGCCCGAGGCCAAGCCGACCAGCTTCTGGGACGGCTTCGCCTGTTGCGCGAGCAGGCGCCGCTGTACGACAGCCGGGGGCGAAGCGGGACGGCCGCGCCGCTAGGCCGAACGGGGTTCTGACGAACGGGGGCAGCGTAGGCGACCGTCGTTGCCCCCCAAAACATCGACGGAGCTGCTGCGGAGCGGGGATGGTCGTAGCGAACCTTGCTCCGTTCGTGTCTGCCAGGAGCCCCCGGTTCGGAGCTTCTGGTGTCACACCCGGGTGTTTTTTGTTTTCTGTTTTGGGCTCCCTCTGGTTCGGGCGTTGCCAGTCCCGCCTCCCGTCCACGAGCCGACCTGGAAAGGGCGCAACGGGGACCTGCGGGGACCTGCCCGTCGTCGTGGGGACGGGCAGGTCATGTCACTCTGCCCCTCTCTTGGGCATAGCCCTAAAGGTTGACTATAGGACATTGATATCAAAACACTAAAAGGACATAAAAGGAACTTTTGATATCATACTAGATGACTGATGGCTCCACCAAGTCATCTCAACATCCGTCATCTATCCAGTCCAGGTCGTTTCGGGTCAAACAATCTTTGTCAGTCCGAACCAAAAAGCGGATCCCGTGTGTTTTGCCACGTCTCCGCAGCCAGCGTGTTCAGACCCGTCCCACAGTCCCAACGAACGAACTTCCTTTCGCGAAGGCCAAGGGCTAACGCAGCTGAAATCACCCAAGTTCTGGGTTTCTTTGTTTCTGGCAACACGTGTTCTCGGGGGAAACACCAGCATAGGATTTTATAATTAAATTATAGATTGCCCACTCAGTCCCACCGTTGGTCCCCAAACAGCGTGGACACACGACTTGCACGGGGTTCTGATGGTATCGGTTTAAGACACCCGACCCGCCGCCGTTCGCCACGACGGTGTACGCTGCTCCGAAGTCGGCTCCGCGCGCGACATACGCGGCGCGACGCGACGAAGCCAAGCAGCGCAGGCAAGATGAGAATGATGCAGGGGGAGCCCAGTGGAAACCGGTGGATGCCAAATTTGCAGTAGATGTGGCAGCACTTCAAGCCTCTAAAAGGGTCACCGACAAAGGACTTGATTCAAGACCAATTTAAACATCGTCTTGGACTGTTAAGGGGGGATGGTTTTTCATTGGTTCCATGCCCACAGTCCTTGTGAATCGTTTATCACTGTCACCACCTCCCATGGTGGCTGTGTGTCTCAGCCTCCGGGCTGGTCACGGCTGGTCAGGTCACGGTGGTCGGAGTCTGCGAGATGTCTCGGTGGTGATGGGTCTGGGGTCCTTGGATTTTTCGTTGACGTCGTTCCGTGATGGGTCACAAGACCCCCCCATGGTCACCAGGCAGGGAACCTCCTCGAGACGGTCGTCTGACGGTGTCGACAGTTCAGATTTCGAGCATGCCAACACCTTCGGACCGGATTCGCATCTGGGGTTTCGGTTTCACTGAACTGCGGATCAAGGGGGTCTCCTTCGGTCACTGAACTAACTATAGCCGCTCGCTATGAACAACAAAGGATCTCTCTCTCCTTCGGTCACCACCTCTCGACCCGTTGGCTTTTCCTCTCATCTCTCTCGACCGCTGGAGACTGTCCACCCGACCCGACACTCCGACGACCCGACCGTCTCAGATGGAATGTCCTCGCCGAAGAGTGAGGAGGAGAGGTGAGAGGTGGACCGCCCACACCGTTTGGCTCGAGGATTTGGTCCAGGTCACGCGGATCTGTGGATTCGTCCAGCGATCTGCCGATGGTGGGCTTGGCGCTTGCAAGGCTGTCGACCCCCAAGCAGCCAGAGGCCGTTGGTGTCTTGCTCAGAGTAGATTTGAAGAAAACCAGGAAGGCACTGCAATCGGAGCTGGGTATCGGTTTTCAGCTTTCTTCCCCGTCCCAGCGCTCTAACAGTCCGTGTAAACCACCTCTTGGAAGTACCATCTATACTGAATCATCAAGTGCACTCGTTTTCAATATGGCAGTGGGTCATGGCCCCATCTGAGGAGACGATACCTGGCTCTTCGAGGACACCGACAACAACTCGGATTGCTCCGACGATCCCAGTGAGTCCTGCTCCCCGCTGGACAACCGCGGCCGTCTGAGTCCTTTCATCTGGAAGGGTGGCACCCGACGGTTAAGGCGCACGGCGGAAGTGGTGGCGGAAGAGATGAGGCGGCCGGACAAACCACCGGAAACCACCGCCGCGCCGAAACGAGAAACGAGATGACGAGAAACGGAAGCATGGATTCCGTCCACAAGCTCCGATATCTTCAAAACAATATACCAACGATTTTGATCGATTTTGTAGGATTTTTGAGAACTGATCCACTGACCCCGACTGTCTGTGCTTTCGCCCATCAGGATCGGCCACCGCCTGCACGAATTCGACGCCAACCGCCTCGTGGAGGGAGGCCCGGTGGGAAGGGAGGAACGGGGTGGGGTGGCCAAAGGCGGGAATCAAGCTATTGTCGGACATGACAAAGCGCAGAAATTCCTGGGGTGTCTCATGGTGGGAGAAGCCCCACATCAGACTGAGTGTCATATTCCAGCTAGACACCAAGAGGGTGTGGAATGGATAATGGTCTCCGTTGAGATGGAGGATTGAGAATGGTGCTCAGAAAACCTGTAGATCTACCATGGTCTACCTGCCTGATTGACCCGTAGCCCGCGTGTCATGAAACCTCACCGCTGCAGAACCTCAGGTGAAGAGCAACACTCAGCGCTTCACTTGGCGGCACTCTTGGGCATCTCGGACTGACCTGATGAAGTTTCTTTCGGGTCTTCTTCCGGTTTGGGACTTGGGACGCCGATGGCCAACAGGTGATCGTACGCCTTGCAGTCCGGGGAGGCTTGCAGTCCGGCTTGCCGGATATGAATCCGGCACGCCCGGCTGGCTCGATAGTTTGGTTTCCTCCAAGTCGCTTCCACAAAGACATAGGTCATAGATGGTCATAGGTAGATTTCTGGATCTTCCACGATGCGCCAGACCCCAAGAGTTTCCTGGTTTTTGGCACTCCAAATGCCAGACAGCTCCTAAGGCGACGATCGAGCAGTGCTGTTTCTCCTCCTCAATGGTGCAGACCGTTGGGAAGTGACTGTGACCGGCCAATCCGCCTTGGATCTTGCCAACTTGGCCAACAAGTCCGGGTCACATGACCAAGTCATCGCTTTGTTGAAAAGTCCAAGGTTGGAAGAGGATGCTGTGCCGGAATACCTGCTAGCACCAGAAGAATCGGATGATGACCATGATAACGAGTTTCCAGCACAGGGAGTGTAGACTGGAGGCTTTTAATGCACATTGATTCACTGTCAGGACCAATCAGAACCACGCATTGCAGCAACAAGACGTTGCAGTCGTAGGTGCACTGATTCCTTGTTAGGAGGCTTTTCATTCTTTTCAAGGTTTGCTGTGGGAACATCCAAGACGACAGAGGGTCATGTGCAAAAGCCCAAAAGTCCTCCTGTCACGCAGAGGTTACATTTAGAGTTGTGCTCTTTCGCTTCTTGACGAGGAGCACCATTCAGCCATGCGCTATTCCACGAGGATATATCCTTTGATAGGATCTATTCTTTTTGACCTTTGGTCAACAAGCTCGCAAGGACTCATGAAAGACAGAATTATACCGCCGCACCAAGCTGACAGATGCCACGTACCTGGCCTTGAGGCTATTGTCTTATAGTTCTCTGCCTTGCTTGTTAACACAAAGGACTTAGATGAGAGCCCATGACTCTCCAGAAACCCATCGCATGTCGAGCAGCTTTCCTGTGCATTCCACAGCAAGTTGGGCTGTGGTGTTGATGCTCCAGGTGCCATGTACCGGGGCACAAGACGGGCTGGGAAGAACATTCCCAGCCAAGAAGAGCGCAGGACCTGCTAGCATCGACCTGCTGGCGCACGCAACTCGAGTGCAGCCAAAAGGCCGGCGAAGCATTTGCGATGCACTCGAAACCTGCGATGGTGGGTTAAAGATGGTCAACAGGTAGAGAAGGTTCCCAAGTTCTCTCTCTGACTTCAAAGACCGGCCCTTCCTTCCTGTGACAGTTGAAATCCATGGTTTCGGGTTTGACCCACCTGTTTTGGGCCTTCCAAAACCCGATGAGGTCCACGGTCCCCCCCACGGCAGACCGCGCCACGTCCCAGGCAGAGGGCGTGGTGAACTCCATGCCCTACGGCAGCGACGTGGGAAAGATCGAGGCGGAACCCCGCGGGGCACCGCGACGCTCGGGGGGGAACGAGGAACAAGAAGCGACGAAGGTAGCTGGAGGCCGGGGCATCGCGTCTCGAACGCAGCGTTCGGACGCTACGAACGGGGCGCTCCTGGCCTTACTACGAACGTAACAAGAAGCTACTAGGGGCTCCTGGCATCGCTACTAGGAGCGATCGGTCGCTAGCAGGGGCTCCTGGCCTTACTACTAGGAGCATTCTAACTACTAGTAACAAGAAGCTACGCACGTATATTCAGAAGGGGCTTGATGGATCGGAGGCCTCGATTCGGCCCAAGCCAGGAGGTTTGGTCAGGTCGGGTCGAGGAGAGAACGGACAGATTCGTGGCGATCCGTTCGTATTTAGTTTGTTTGGTGGGAGGGAACATGAGGATGTAAACACAAAACACCTCCAACAGATAAACCAAACATAACATACTACTGTTTTTGATAAGATAAGATAAGACCATTTGTTTTGGGTTTGTTTCTGATCCAAAGTAGAGGTCACTCAGGTTACATATATAGACATTGGTTTGATGCTCTTCCATTTGCCATCTGGTTTGGTGATCTACACATGATTGCCACCACGTTTCACCATCTTGGTCTCACTTCAGATCTCTCCAAAACCGCACTGGTTTGTTATGGTCCTATGGTTAGTTATTGGGTTTCGCTCAATGCCACTTTGATCGGCACGAGAGTTCTCTCATTCGGGGAGGTGTCATCACCGCTTCTTCAGATTGATTGGCACCAAAGAAAGATTTGGCGTCAAGTGAGGAACTTCAGCGTCAAGTGAGGAAAGCTAGGACAGTTGGATCTGCAGCATGGGCCACAAATATCCCCCCTATCCCCGTGTCAGTGATTGGGAGTTGGGTGTATTGCTTTCCCCTCCACGTCTTCGAAGCAAACCACCGGAACCATCGAACCAACCCCAAAACCAACGAGTTCGATCGGTCCAGGGCCCTCGGGTCGTGCTCGTGGGGCCCTTCGGCCGTTCCTCCATGGGGTCGAAGCACAATTCGACTCGACCTGCCGACTCAACTCATCCCGACTCACTCCCTACCGGTCGAGCCGGGAGCCGGGAGCCAGCCTCAGGACACCGAGCTGGTGGAGCGGCCTGAAACCGAGGCCGCCGAAAATGGTGGGGTGGGGGGTGAGGAGGTGAGGAGTTCTACACGTGCTGTTGATGTGTGTTTTGCTTCAGAGATGAGAGTGGTATAGAAAGAACCACCGAGCTGATGATGGGCAAAAGTGGCTTGGATCCATTTTTGGGTTTGTTTTACACTCAGGTCCAAACATGATGAAGCCACAGCGGCTAGTGCGAAGGCAACAAAAAGAACCCACAGCTTCCGCATGTTGGGACAAAGTGCACTCTTGTGATTTGGGTGGAAGTGAGTGAAATGCCAAACGATCCATGATTCAATCATCCACCCATAGTTATATATGATATATGAATGCTTGGCCAAACGAAATATGGTAACAAACAAAAAGCCCAAGTCCGAAATGCCAAACATCATAGGCCCCAGAAAGCAATACAACTACCAATTGTATCAATATCCCCCAGTGCATTTCCACTACAGAATGGGAGTGCTCGAGCTATAGAATGGGGTGTCCAAGGTCACCCCGTTATGTACAGGGGGATGTATCAATATATTTTGGTCGTTTCCTTGTCGTTTTTACGGTTTCGGTTTGGGACCGTTCCTCTCCGGTCTACCGCACTGAAGTGGTAGACCGGAGCGGTCAAAGTCCAATGACGCAAGAGGCCCAAAGCCAGAGACAACCCCATGCAAGGCTACTGATGCATATATATATATATATACACATACATATACATACATCCAAACCTCGATTTTTGAATGATTTAGACCTTTCGGATATTTATCTCCTAACAGCAACGGAGCTTCCTTTTGAGCAATAGGAGATTTGTTTGCGACCGGGTCGTCCTTTGGCAGATTCATGTCAGACTCCTCACACAGTATGTCAGTATGTCCAGCCATTTGCCACTGGACAAGGAAGTTCCGTGGCGTGGCTCACTTGGGGATGAGTCTTCCTGGGGCCAAGGATTGAGTCTTCCTGGGGATGTGGTTGGTGTTGATTCATCAAACAGTTTTCACCCTTGGAACGCTCACTCACAGAAGCTCCGGTCGATTCAACCGGACTGATCTTGCAGCAGCCGAAACGCCATCAGCAAGACACTCGTTAAGACACATCAGCAGCCGAAAACGACCCCCCTTCCAAAGCACCGACCGCTATTTCCGTGGTTTCAGAGGTTTGATGGCACTGGCACCCCAAGATGTCTCTTAGATGGGGATCCATATACTGTAAACCACCCAACTTGGGGATTGTGCCATCTACCTCTCAATCCACGATGTTTTTTTCCTCTTGTTAATTTTTCTTTCCGGCGCGGTTTGAGACACCGAAGCAAAGGTGGAAGCTGGAGCCAAGTGCGCCCGGCGGTCGTTTCGTTTTCGCCCGGTTGGTTGGCGGTGGTTTGGGGGGAACGAGCTCGGAGAAGGGTCGAAGACTTCGCGGTTCTAGTAGCTTCTTGCTACTATACCTGGACCCTCCTGTCGGGGTGTCCTGGCTGGACTACCCCACACTACCTATAGGCTTCCAGACAGGGCACCCCTTGGAGGGTTCTGGTAGAAGTGGTGCACTTGTTACCAGTAGCGATGCACTTGCTCCTTTCCTTGGAATTTTTCACCCCCATCTCCGCTTGACGGTCGCGAAGTTGGCCACTCGAATCCGGGGACGTGGGGAGACCGGTTTCCCCACTCAAATCCGTTCCAGGTGGAGTTCGTTTGATGCAGTTTCTGATTTTCCAGGGATCGATCGATCGATCTGAGCGATCGGCTCCGTGGCATCGGAAGGATTTGGTCCGGAGCAAGGATTTGGGAGAAGGGGCTCCGTGGACCACGGAGCAGGACGGTGGCAGTCCTGTTCCTTCTCCCCCCTCTCGAAGACTTTTCGTCTCCCTCACCACCATCTCAATCCACCTGGCACGAGGGAAGTTCCTGGGTCCTGGAAGGGAGAAGGAGGACGCGCCAAACAGCCGACACGCCTTCGCCGAGCCTAGCTGTTTGGCCGCCTGGCTCTTCCGGCCTGGCCAAGCCGGCAACTGCCATTGGCACACGATCCACATGGAGAAGAAGCCGATCAAATTCTGCCGGAAGACTTCCAGCGACAGTACTGAGAAGTTCCTCAACTGAACTTGTTAGTGACCTTGTTACCAGGCCAGTTTTGCAAGTCCAGATTTCTACCTTTGAGACTTCCAGACTTCCCGCCTTGGTTCAACCAGACCCTCTGCACACGCGTGCGTGCGGTCTCAATGGACCCTACGGTGGTGAGCCTCCAATCCCAAGGCCTTGGTTCCTTGTTCCGAGGAGCCCCCAAATGGGGGTGTGCATGTAATGGAGGCAAATGGAGTGTCTAGGTTGTATAGGTTAGTTCTGTTTTGTGGCAAATGGAGTGTCTAGTTCTAGAACTAACATCGGCACCATGAACTCTGGTAAACCCAGGGGCAGGTGCTTGAGGGAAGCCCGTGCTCCTTGGGCTCGTGCTGGATGGCCCGAGCGTCTTGCCACCGGTCACCCACACGTCGTTCTGCCGGCGACGGAGAGTCCACCTTTAGGACACCTTCGAAAGTGCACGCAGGTACAAGGGCCAGTGGCGTGGCTCCCAGTGCCATGGCAAAGGTACCTTGACGCGCCCAGATGGGTCTTCCTATGAAGGATACTTTCAAGGCGGGGGGCCCGTGGGGGCCGGGCCAGATCAGGTGATGATGTTGGTGATGTTAAGCGAGTAACAAGTGCATCGCTACGAGTAACAAGGGCATTACTAGTAACAAGAAGGTACTAGCAACTAGAAACAATTAGAAGATGTTAGAGGATGCTGGAGGTACATTCTTCAGATGGCAGATGGGGTGATTCTATGGGGTGATCGTGTTGGTCCCAGTTGTGAAAGCAGCTTGGGTATGGTGTCATTCATGAGTGGGTTTGTCTTCAATTCACCCTGCGGCCGGTTGCATATTGATCCACTTCACCACAAAAAGCAGGGATTTGGATGGTTCCACATCATGCAATCAAACCTGCCCTGATTTGTGGGGTGTGATGCTATTAACAGAATGTAGTAAACATCATCCCAGCTCCAGCTACCAAAACCTTGCCATTATCATATGCATATCCATGCCATATCTACCTAGAGCCCAAGACACGACCTCTCTGTTTTGATAGGATATTTGACCATATTTTGGGTGGTTGGGTGATCCAAAACGCCGACTTTTGGCTCCATTTGGGTACCTTCCAGCCTTCCGTCATGCTGGCGCCTTCAGTTGGCACTTCTGCTGGGCTACCCTTAACCCCCCTGCGCATCCCGGCCTTTTCTCGTTTTCTTACGTTCCTTTCTGTCCCCGAAGCTCTCGAAGCTCCGGCAAGCATGCGCACCTCTGTCCTCCCCCAACGGACCGGCTGCGCATGTCCGTGCGTTGGCCGGCCGAAGGCCGAAGGGGCCGAAGGCCGAAGGAAAAGAGGTGTTCTTTCCTCGTTCAGGTTTTTTCAAACATCCTTTTCGGTGGTTCGGCCTTCCTCGTTCAGGTGTTCTTTCCTTTCCTCGTTTCGGTGGTTCAGGTTTTCCACTCGTCGTTCAGGTTTCGGTGGTTCTTTTCGGTTTCGTGTGGTTTCGGGAGACTTTTGTTTCCATTCTTTTCATCGGATTTCTACAGAACCTGTCTGAAGAGATGATGAGATTGGGTCGAGAAACCAGAACCATCCCGCCCCGCGCCACAAGCCAGGCGGCCGAGCTCATGGCTACGGGAAGTTCAAGGCAGCGAATGGCAACGTTTACGAAGGAGATTGGTACCAGGTGCGGTCTCCACACGCCTTCGCCTTCTGCGGTACCAGAGTGGCGGAGACGTGGCGCGTCGGCGCGTCGGCGCGCGGCGTGTCGACGGCGCGCGCGAGTCGGTGGGTGGTCCTCAACGGAGTCGACGGTGTGGAGCTTGGGGCGAGTCCGGCGAGCCTGGGCGAGCCTGGGTGAGCCTGGAAAATGGAGTCTGGCAGACTGGACATGGGGAAAATCATGGGAGAAAAGACCGGTGCACCAGGGGCGGTGTATACGGTATAGAGGTGATCGGTCTCGCACGGGTCAGTTCGAAGGCATGTTTTCCAAGAGCTGCTCGCTTGAAAGAGTCAAGCAAGCGTTGGACTGGTTGGTGCATAAGGCACAAACCAAACAGGCAGACACTTGGATTCTTTGCACTTTGGATTTGGAGTTCCTTGACAGGACCTTTGGTTTATGTTCAGGTTGTTTTGACAGAGGAGATCTACTGAACCTGGTAGCCCAGGCTACCCAGCACGGGAAGAACGGTTCACCCCCAAGTAGGTAGACCTGTACAGGTTGTGATTCTTTTTCTTTTCAATCTTGGGCGCAAGAATCTTTATTTCAGCTTGTCCATTTGGGGTGGGGTGTCCATTCCCGGTTAACCTCTGTCTGAATCTTGCTGTACCAAAGAGCCTGCTTTTTCCATCGTGCACAGGACCGTGCGCAGGGCCACGGGGTGTACGTTGGGAGCTTGGTGGTGAGGGAAGTACATGGATTGTATGGCGGAGCTCGGCCGGGGCAACATGAATGTCAGATTCCCCCAAATTCAGGCCCAGAGTGGAAGCAGGTGACCAACATTTTGTCCTTCAGCACTCGTGCTGGGGGAGATTTGGGGAGGCTGCATTGGGACCCCAAAGCCAGAGTTCTATGGGCCGACATCACGACCAGCTCTTTGAGCTTGGTTGATAGGGTCCGGGACGGATTGACACATCCGGGACACACCACCGCGTTGCCGTGCGGGTTGGACATGCGGGTCTCGGGCCGTTGGACATCACCTTTAGCCGGTGAGGGAGAGGACGGAGACGGAACGTCTGGCCGTCCCAGCGGGGCAGACCGTACCGTCCCAGGGGCAGCGCAGGAAGAGGAACTTCGTGTTCACATCGGCTTCTTTTACACCTGAAAGGATCTGATAAGCTTCGTTCTTCCTTGGATTGTACCAGACCAAGCTCCCCATCTTCATCCTGGCTGAAGATGGATTAGGGGACTCGTATCCCTGAAGGGCGTCATCTGCTTTTGTTTGCCAGAAGGCACACCTAGATGGGAAGGGCTTTCTGTATATGTACAACTGGGGTCACTGGGTCCGTCCGATTGCCTGTAACAGTTCAGCAAAGGCCCAAAAAACTATGTCTCGCCTTTTCAGAGAAAGGCCTATCACTATCCACTGTTGTTCCTCTGGTGGGCTGGGACGTACCCAACATCACCGACGGACGCCCCCGCCGCCCCGACAGCACTGACCCCACGGGCCCCACGGTCTCGTCCATCGGTTTCGGCTCCGCCAAGACTCACGAAGATGGAAGCACCTATGTTGGCCAGTGGCTCCAGGTCGCTTTAGGGTTTAGGGTCTGAACCGGTCGCTTTAGGGTGCTTTTGAGGTGCGCACAGATAGAATTCGCTCCAAGAAGGAAGAGAGAGCTATAGGTCTGGTTTGAACAAAGAACGATGGCTCGAAGCAACTGGCGATCCTCTTCACAGCCACAAGGCAGAGCTACCGGAGGCTGGCATCCAAACAGTCTTAGTCTTCTAACCGGTGGGCTTCATCGACCGTGCCAAGTCCGATTCTGGATCTTGAGCTATGCACCTCTAGCTATCGCACCTCCAAGGGAAGAAATGCCACAGAATTCAATTCACCTCTACCAAGCCCATCCAAACATCCATCTTCGAAGAAAACAACGGCCCGGTTGAGTTTCAGCTCATTTGCATGACATTGATTTTCTACTTTGAACGGTTGTACCAACTTCCTCCATCTCTCCCGCTTGTTGCTGTTGTTGCTGTTGCTGTTGCCGTTGCTGTTGTTGTTGCTGCTGTTGTTGTTGTTGTTGTTGTGGTTGTTGTTGTGGTTGTTGTTGTCGCCGTCGCCGTCGTCGTCTCCCCCAAGCTGGCCACAACCACAGGTCGTTTGCTCTGCAAAGAAAAACACGGTCCGTTCGTTTCAGGCCGTCTTTTCTTTTGCGCGCTGAAAACAGGGTGCGCAGACTTTGGCTGCCTGGCATGTTCCACTTTTTTTGGTTTCTTCGCGTTCCGTGAAATTGGAGAAGTTCAACGACCGAACAGGGCACCTGAACCATGACCGTGTGCTGTCCGATGACCCACCGCTTGGTCGATGACCCAACCCGCATGTCTTTGGCGTCCGTCCGGTCCGGTGGTCGCACCGTCCCCGGTTCGCGGTCCGTCGGTCCGCCGTGGCCGGGTCCCAACCGGGCGGTGTTCGCTCCTTCCCAGTGTCCCCAGGAAGCAAAGCGGAGCCCTGGGGGTTCGGTTCGCGGACCATGTCGTTTCGCCACGGTGAAGCAGATGGTTCGGTTGGTGGGGTGGGGCGAGAGGATGGGGTCTGACCAGTCCTTCCGGTAGACACGGTCGCCGGGTACGCGGAGAGAGGATCTGGGGTACCATCCCCACATACTCTGGGCACCTACGGCCATCGGTCGCATGGAGGTTATGGGCCTCTACCCTAGCGATGGCCTTCATCCTCATGCAGGATCCAGAACTTCCGACGTGCGCTCCGCAGGACGAGAAGTCGGGCAAGGGCATGGAGAAGTGGGCTGATGGCCCGGGTGCTCAAGCGCCGCCTGGCGCTCTGGACGTACCCTGCAACGTGTGGGAATTGGGGAGAGAGAAGAGGTTGAATAGGTGGTTGGATGTTGTTGGGCTTCCCGGTCGTGGTGATAAAGCCGGGTTTCTCGCAGATCTCGCAGATCGTTTCTTGGCAGGCTTTGATTGGTGACCATTGGTGAGCCAGAACCGAGATCTTGCCTGTTTTGATCTAAGCTGATCAGCACCGACAGTGCAACTTCGAATTTTCGGTGAAGTGAGTCACACACATTTTCGTGCACACCTGAGCTAAGCCACGTCGCTTCAACCTGATAACTACAACTTACACAGCGCATGTTTTTTTGTACTTGAGGTGAACATCCTGTCAAGCTAGCAGCCTCCAATGTTTTGAAAGAGTGGTGTGTTTAGGTATATGGGTATGCCTTGTGTAGTTCCCTTGTGTAGTTCCGTACCTCTGAACCGCTATGGTCTCTCGCAAGCACCAACAGCACCTCAATGCGCACCCCAATGCTGCATGCCGCACAGGCTCCAAGTACGAGGGCGAGTTCCTTCAAGGTAGTAAGCACGGCCTGGGAGCCCAGTTGACGCCGCAGGTGCGGCTTGGCAGGTGCCATCATTTGGTGCAGACCGGTGGTGAAAACGAACGAGGGGACGACCGAATCTTCTACCTAAGAACCCATGGTAAAAGCTCTGTTTTGCTAGGAACAGACCATGCTTTGAGTGGTTGAACATCTCAAAATAGAAGTCACTTGTCAGATTCGAGGTACATACACAGAATTTTAAAACACCAAAACCATCGCTTCGGTCGATCGCTTCGGGGGTGACTTGGCCCATTTCCCGTCTTGGACCGTCCCCGCCTTTGTCGTCCCCGCCGTTCCGAAGGATCTGTTTGTTTCCTTTGATTTTCTTCCTTTATGAACTACCCTAAGAGCGTCTGGCCCGAAGCATAGGGCCAGGGTTTGCTTCGGACTCCGTTTTCCCCCTGCGTGAAACGGTGGGTGTCAGGTCCGACCCCTGCGGAGAGCTCGTTCGGATTCTTAGGGTAAGAACACATGACCCTCCCTGCAACACTCATGGTTACG